AAGGTTCACAGACTTTCCTGCCCAGGCTGGCTTTGAACTGTGATCCTCAGATCTCAGCCTCCTGACTAGGATTACAGGCATGAGCCACTGGCACCCAGCATCCAACAAACTTTAATCAATAAAAAGAAAGAAAGAAAGAAAACATGCTCTTCTGGGGACGGTGTCTAGAGGCCATCAAAATGGTCCAGCAATTGACATACCGCCATAGGCTTTCCTACAACACAGCCTCTAACAAAACCAGGCTGTCCCAAACCCCTGGCAATAAAATTGTTTACCTTTACACCAAAAAGGTCGGAAAAGCACCAAAATCTGCATGTGGTGTCTGTCCAGGCTGGCTCCGGGGGGTTTGTCCTCATGCGATTCTCTAAAACAAAAAAGAACATGTCAGCAGAGCCTATGTTGGTTCCATGTGTGCCAAATGTGTCCGGGACAGGATCAAGCGTGCTTTCCTTATTGAGGAGCAGAAAATCATCGTGAAAGTGCTGAAGGCACAAGCACAGAGTCAGAAAGCTAAATAAAAACAGGAAGCTGTTTGTGTGGCCTAGGACACCAGAGGCCTCTAAACTGCTAGCAAAGAAAGAACCTTTTTGATAAATAAAAAGGCTTTGAGTAATAAAATATCAGAGTATTGTTTTGTAAAAAAGAAAGAAAGAAAGAAAACACTTGAACTAGGCTTAGAAAGAAACTTCCTCAAAAAAACCTATAAAAGGACCCACAATGGACATCCTGTGACAGAAGACTTAAAGGTTCTCCCCTAAGATCAAGAACAAGATCAGGGTCAGACAAGGTGGTACATACCTATACTCACAGCACTCACGAAGCTGAAGGAGGAGGATTATGAATTTGAGGCCAGCAAGACTATATCTAAAATCAGAGAGAGGGGCTGGGAAGTTGGCTCAGTGGTAGAGCGCTTGCCTTGCATGCATGAGGCCCTGGGTTTGATTCCTCAGCACCACATAAGCAGAAAAAAAAAAAGCTGGAAGTGGCGCTGTGGCTCAAGTGGTAGAGCGCTAGCCTTGAGCTGAAGAGCTGAGAGACAGCGCCCAGGCCCAGAGTTCAGGCCCCACGACGGGATCAAAAAAAACACAAAAAAAAACAAAATAAAATCAGGGAGAGCTGGGAAGGTGGCTCAGTGGTAGAGTGCTTGCCTTGTATGCATGAGGCCCTGGGTTCGATTCCTCAGCACCACATAAGCAAAAAGCAAAAAAAAACAAAACAAAACAATAAAATCAGAGAGAAAGAAATAGAGACAGAGACAGAGAGGAAACAAAGAGAAACAGAAAAAAAGAATATCTAGAAAGTCTACTTAGACTAATTGTATTCAACATATTAGAATTCTAGCTGGAGGCTGGATGCCAGTGGCTCACACCTGTAATCCTAGCTACTCAGGAGGCTGAGATCTGAGGATTACGGTTCAAAGCCAACCGAGCAAGAAAGTCCATGAGACTTTTATCTCAAATTCACCACCAGAAAACTGGAAGTGTCACTGCAGCTCAAGTGATAGAGTGCTAGCCTTGAGCTGAAGAGCTGAGGGACAGCACCCAGGCCCAGAGTTCAGGCCCCATGACAAACCAAAAAAAAAAAAAAAATAATAAAATATTTAGCAGTAAATTTAACCAGTAGAGAAGGCCATAGATGGAAAGAAAGCTTTATGCTGAAAAGTAAATTTAAACAAGAAAGTAAGAGACTTACACCCTAGGAACTATAAAGTATTGCTGAAAGAAATTAAAGAAATTGGGCTGGGAAGGTGGCTCAGTGGTAGAGCGCTTGCCTTGCATGTATGAGGTCCTGGGTTCGATTCCTCAGCACCATATAAGCAGGAAAAGAAAGCTGGAAGTGGTGCTGTGGCTCAAGTGGTAGAGTGCTAGCCTTGAGCTGAAGAGCTGAGGGATAGCGCCCAGGCCCAGAGTTCAGGCCCCACCACCGGACCAAAAGAAAAAAAAGAAAGAAATCTTTAATTAGCTGGGCAGGTAGCTCAGGTAGAGCACTTTTCTGGCAGGTGCAAGGCCTGGCATGGTATTCAACACTGCAAACAAAACAACGAAGTTAATAAGCTTGTGTTCAAAGCCTGGTGCCAGTGGCTCATGCCTATAATCCTAGTTCCTCCGGAGGCTGAGATCTGATGATTGCAGATGAAAGCCAGCCCGGGCATGAAAGTCCGTGAGTCTCTTATCTCCAATAAACCAGTCAGAAAATCGGAAGTGACACTGTGGCTCAAGTGGTAGAGCTCTAGCCTTGAGATGAAAAGCTGAGGGACAGTGCACAGGCTCAGAGTTCAAGCCCCACAACCAACAACAACTATATATATATTCCTAGGAGTAGGACAGCTCAATCATGTGGATTCTGTTTAACTTCTTGAGGAACTGGCAAACTGCTTTCTATAGCAGCTGCATCATTTTATATTCCTCCTAGTATGCTTTGGAGATCACTTGAAAGTGTCTTGAGTATCTCTATGAATCTCCAGATCACACTGGGATTGCAACTGGTCTAATAAATGGTTAACCTTCCCAGTGGAATCTCAAGACTTGGGGTTAGTGGGGAAGACATTTTGGGATAATCTTGTACTGATGCTCAGACCACACCACCAAGGTGATCCCTTCTCCCCAAGAGCCCTAAATTAGCCACCCAACTGTTATCTTTCTTTTTTTTTTTTTTTCCAGTCCTGGGGATTGAACTCTGGACCTGGGCACTGTCCCTGAGCTTCTTTTGCTCAAGGCCAGCACTCTGTCACTTGAGCCACAGCACCACTTCCGGCTTTTTTTGTGTGTGAGTGGTACTGAGGAATCAAACTCAGGGCTTCATGCATGTGAGGCAAGCACTCTACCACTAAATCATATTCCACTCTACCACTAAGTCACATTATGTCTTTCTTCAGCTCTACCAGGGAAGATTCTCCACAGAGCTTTCCTTATGATCTTATTTGTCTTATCTGTTTACCTTCTAGAGGAGAAGAAATAGAAAAGAAGGAAGTCATCATCCAGGAGCTGGAGGTAGGGAAAGAAGCATTCAACCTATGGGAAAATTATCTTCCTCTTCCTCCTTCTTCTTCCTCCTCCTCCTCCTTTTTTTGGGTTGGTCTTAGGGCTTGAACTCTGGCTGGGCACTGTCCCTCAGCTCTTCAGCTCAAGGCTAGTGCTCTGCCACTTGAGCCACAATGCCACTTCTGTTTTTTTCTATTTATGTGGTGTTGGGGAATCAAACCCAGGGCCTCATGCATGGAAGGCAAGCGTTCTACCACTGAGCCACCTACCCAGCCTCGGGAAAATTATTCTTTACACCAAGGATGACTCCATATCCAGACTTTATTATTACAGCTCAAGCTCTACCTGGTAACTTGGCTTCTCACTGCCACCTTTCTGGAGATATGTAAAGCCAGTGGCTTTTCTCAATTCTGGTTGAAGTGTTACCTTTAAGGCTGAAAGATTCCACCAGTATTCCCAGACATCAGCAATCTCTTGTGGCAGCTGGCAGAGAGGAAGTTTCCGGAGGACTGTTCCTCTCAGAGCTCTGGGCAAGCTCACCATCCTAACCATTGCCTGGTACTTGATGTTCAGGAAATTCAACTGTAAATACACAGACAAGGCTGCTGTATCTTCATTTTAATTGGAAACACTTGCAATTGCTTTATTCCTACTTCATTTCCAACTTTTGCCTGCCCAAATCTAGCTTTAAGCTCTCCCAATAGAAAGAGGACTGA